GACTGAGTCGGGTTAAAAATAGCTTGTTTTGTTTTCCCTGTATTATTTTTAACGTGGATCAATTTCCCAGCCCACGCGGCTGCCGAGGAACAATTCAGAGGCTGGTGTGGGGACCAGGGGCACACGTGGCCTGCGGCTGCGTCCACCAGCACAGATGCAGGGACGGGCGCTGCCGGGCTGCAGCGTTAGCCTGAGGCAGCTCAAAAATACCAATACACGCTTCGGATCACAAAGCAGCCAGCATGTATCACCACATCTGCCTTTAATAATTATCCTAAGCCTCCCATCTGAAGCTGGTCCATGTGATGGTTGCCCAGTTTCGTGAACTGCTCGTACTGGGGCTTTGCAGGAGCTGCCTGCAATTATGTGTGCGGTAGCAGTTGCCAGAGGAGTAGGTCTGGTGGGGTTTACTGGCCAGTTAGTGACTTGCAGCAGTGAAGCTGGTTTGTTGATGGTTTCCATTCTCAAGCTGCAAGACGTAAGAGCTAAAGGAAAGATGATATCTGTCTAAAACTGCTTCTATGTGATGTTCCTGCCTTTATATTTAAATATGACTGCTAAATGCTAAAAGCTTAATATCTGCTTGGGCTAAGAGTCCAAGGAATTTCTTTCTTGCCTTTAATTTCCAATTAGCTGAGCCTCTCGAGTCTCCCTGCTCTGCCCCTGAGGCTGTGTTATCATCCAACCCTCCATGCAGAGAAGCTTCTGAAATTGATGTAACTAATAATCGTGGAAAAGTCCTACTGCATTTACAGTCTATGGCTGCAAAAATGGAGTCTTGATTTAAAATCCTGCAGCGACAAATGGATTATTTCGGTGGCAAATTAGTCTCTGTGGGCCAACAATTTGGGGATCTGAACGCTGGAATTGGAAAGCAGAAGATCAATTCCGAACACTTAGAGCCAAGGTTAATGCCCTGCAAACTGTATTGAGTGCAGTGATGAAAGATAACATGCCTCTGCATTTTAAATGTGAAGCCGAGAAACACAGTATTGAAAGTGAAAATGGGCAAGTTCAGAGGAAGTGATACCCACGTATTTGCTAATAAAATGGTACACGGCGTCTGGGGACTGAGTTTTCAGGCAAGTGCTGAGGATGACAGTGGGCTTTTACTAAAAGAACAGGAACTAATATCACCGAGGAGGTGGCTGTTGCACCTGGGACTCTCCCTGCCACGTGGAAGCTGGTAGTCCTCAGTACCTGCCGAATCCAGCCTTTCCCAAACGTGATGGACACTTCCAAAAGCCTCCTGGTTCCATACAGAGTGGAGCAGAAGGGAAGAGGATCACCCAAAGACTGGAGAACATTTTTTTTTGCAGTGAGAACACAGAATCACAGAATCTTCTAGGTTGGAAGGGACCTTAAAGATCATCTTGTCCAACCGTCAACCTAACTTTGACACCTTTGCAGTCATCACCTGAAATAATTTCAGCAGCTGAAGAAAGACCTTTTGAAGGTGAGAATGGTTTGAATGGGGGCTTGGGAGGGGAAGGCGGTGCTGGGAGGCAGTTTATTGTCTGCAGAGTTGCCAGCAGCCTCTTAGCACAGCGAGATGAGAAATCTCTCCCCAGGGATCTTGCTGTTGTCCTCAGCACTGGGAAACTTTATAAACCACATGCACTTTAACTCTCTGAGAGTTACTCTTGTTCAGTATTCAGTTAACTGTTCTGCAGACAGAGTGGCTTGTTTTCCATTTCTGTTAACAGTTACAGTATTTGGAAATAGACTTTTGCTTTTGTTTTCCGATAGTATTTGATGTGAGTTTTTCATATGTTATCAGAAAGCGACACAGCAGAGCCTCTTGAATTAAGCTGTTAGTTCTTAAGAACAGCAGTAAGGGAAGAACTAAGTCCCATTTTTGGTTCTTTTTTTCTTTTGGAAACTGGCTATTTTAAACACCGAGAAAAGATTCCATTTGCCTGTTTTCTTTATATCCCTTTCCACCGTTTATAGTTTTGTTGTTGCTCGAAGTCTAGTTCAGATTATATAAATCCTAAATAAAGGTGGATCCTCAGCCAAAAGCCTGTGGTCTCTCTTAAGAGTGAAAAAAACCCACCCTCTGCCATCCAGCTTCTCAAGAGAACCAGTCTGGCAGCTCTCTATGCCTTTGTCCCTCCTGGAGTCACTTAATACCCTTCTGGGTGATATGTAGGTTGGTAGCACAATTCCCATCTGAAAGGGATAGGGGCTGAGAAGCCCGTCAGCCCGTTGGCCTACAGCGAGGAATGTGTGCCAAATCCATTAGTTCTGGATCGGACTCAAAATCCCTTCCCAGCTCGGCCAGGCTGGCCAGAGGAGAGAGAGGAGTTTGGTGTCTTCTCCAAGGGCCTGATCCAACCTGCTACAAGGGGCAGGAGGTGCTGGGTTTGGCTCTGTGCAAACAGGGATGCTGTGGAAGGGCACAGCTGGTTCATGATGCCTTCTCCTCTTTTAGGGGGGCACACAAAGCTAGCTCATTATTCAGTGTGGATGCTTCGGTCCCAAGCCCAGGGAGCTGGCTGGGGAACTGCATTTTTCTGCTGTTGAAATAAGATATTTAAAAAAAAAAAAAAATGGGTTTAAAGTGCATGCGTTTCTAAAGCTGAAATTGAAACGAAACGTTCCAGTGGATTTGAAAGGAAATTTTAGTTCCCATTTCCCCTTGTGGGGTATGTTGAAATTTTGAGCATTTTGTTCCACTTCACACTGAAGTTTTAAAATCCTTAACGGAACAGAAACTTCCATACTCAGCACAGCTCTTCTAATTGCCTGGTTAAGCTGATTAGAGTTAGCTCACAAGCTTTTATACCCCCAGTTTTTATGTTTGCAGGTTAATAACATCTCTCGAATCAGGATCTCAAAGCACTTTTAAATCACTCATTAACTCTGTGTCCAAAAGAGAGGCAAAGCCAGTGTCCCTGTCCTGTGGTACCCTCTGGGGGATCCAGATCTGAGGCACAGAAGAGCCCTAAACCTCTGGAAGCCACAAGCGGATGTTGAGACACCTCCCCGGTGATATTCCAGAGTCCTTTGACATCACATTTGGAAATTGGTCCTAGGAAAGTTCTTTTCAGATGGAAATTGCAGTAGGAGTCACCACTGTTGTTTGAAAGGTTGAACAATTACGGGGAAAGTAATTTACTTTGGTTGTTAAAAACCGGTCTGTACTGGTAGGTGCAGTTCATATCCTTTGAAACAGGGGATTAACGAGGTGAAGTTCTGACAGAGATGTGAGAAATGTTTTTTAAACCTGAGCTGGCATGGGGCATCATTTCTGGCAGCTGAATCATTGGGAGTCTGATTTGGTGTAACATTTTGTGCTCTTCCTGGCAGAACTGATGGTGTTTGAGAGGCCTGATCCAGCATCAGAGGAGGAGAGATCCCCCCCCTCTCCTCCAGCTGCTTCTTCACCCAGCTGCTGGGTGCAAAGGGAGCGGTGGGAGCCCTTGGCAGCTCGTCCTGGGGAGAGCTGCTGGTTTGCCAGGGGTAAGTTGGCACGAGGGGCCTGGGAACCTGGCTTAGCCTCAAGAAATATGTGGTGGTGTCTTCTGCTAATAACGGTGGTGATTGTGTAGGAGGGTCACAAACAAGAAAACGCGATGAAGACCCCAGCTCGTGGATTCTCCACTAATGAGAGGCAGAAAGCAGGGGTGCCTGGTGTTTGCACTGCAGGCAGCCTGCAAGAAAAGCCCTTTCCCAGCTCCTGCTTATTTCCATGGGTAGGCAGATAAATTCCATGACTTCCATCCGCCAGGAAGAAGAGGAGTTGCTGGAATGGCTCATTGTCCACTATCGTGGTTGGTAAGGTTACAGGATAAACCCTTCCATCTCATCCGAGGGAGTGAGGGTGTTGCGAAGCCCCTGTTCCAGTGGAAGAGTACGTGCTTCCTCTGTGTTTGCTTCACTGGAACAGCTGCTAGAGAGGATTTTTCTGGTGCCAAAGAGATAATCTGACTTCAGGGAAAATCTTAGTCTTTAAGGGAACGGTTGTGAAAGGAGACACACTGACCTCCCGTGTGGGCTGTCTCTGGCAACAGAGAGCTGAACAAGAAAGGGAGCGACCTTCGCACTGGCCTTCAGCGTGTCTCTGTTTGCACCTCAGGCAGACACCCATTAAACGGGTGTCTTTTGCTGTCTGCAGATGAATTAGGAAGAAAACAGTTCAGTGTGTGGCAAATGATTCCCGAGGGTTTGTATCAAGCAACTGTGCAATGACACGGGACGCGTCAGACGCTGGGATGCGGGCAGAATGGGGTGTCTCAGGAGATGTGATGTGTAGAAGAGGCTGTCACAGCTAAGTTGGAGAGGAGAGCAACCTCCTCTCCTCTCAGCTGCTCCTCCTGTGGGAGAGACACTTCTCGTAGCTGGAAGGACCCCATGGGGCTGTTGGGACCGACTGGTCCAGCGAGAGTAGGAGAAAGCCAGCCTTCTGCACCTGAGCACCCATCCCATGGGGTCCACATCAAATCACTGCAAAACACCTGGATGGCTGCTGGGGCCAAGGGTGTTGCACACTTAAAACTGCCTTTGCTTTGCGCAGCGGGTTGTGCCCAGATGGAGTTGGACCAGGTCCCAGGCGCGTTTGCCAACCCACGAGGAGGTCTGTGCTCAATCAGCCGCGTGTCTCCTGCCCACAGAGGGCTTTGCCACAGGCAAACGGCTATTCACCCATCGGGGGACGGGAGATAGGGGCTGTGTGAGGGTGCCCCGACCTGCCTGATGGACGTGTGACACCAGTCGCTGCCGAGCTGTCAGCCCCAGGGGCGAGGGCGCTGGGCCGGGCTGTGTTTATCATCCCCCAGGAGTGTCATCCACACCAACCGTTTCTACAGACGCAGAGTGTGATTCCAGGGGTTCACAAGAGGTGACGAGGGGTAGAAAAGCAGGAAATAGTTCAGTCCTAGCAAGCTTGCTGTCTACGTGAGGCACAGGGCAGGGGTGAAGGGGGGTGGAAGCGTAGCTTCTGGACATGGGACCCCTTTCTGAAGCTGGCCTAGGGCAAGGCAGGGTCTCAGGGCTCCAGGCACTGATGAGATATGGCTCCACGTGCTGCAGGTACCAGCTCCACGTGTTGCAGGTACTGGAGCACTCTTCAGAGGGGGGACTGGGGCTCCATGCACCAGAGTGCTGGAGCTCCATGCTCCATGCACCAGGATGCTGGAGCTCCGTGCTCCAGGGTAGCATGCCAGGGAGATCAGGGTTCTGTGAGTTGGGGTACCAGAGCTCCATGCACCAGGGTAGCATGCCTCCATGCACTGGGGAGATCAAGGTTCTGTGGGTTGGGGTACCAGAGCTCCATGCATCAACGGGGGGTGTTGGGGCTCCGTGCCCCAAGGTGCCAGAGCTCTGTGAACCTGGGGGCTGGGGTTCTGTTCACCGGGGTATCAGAGCTCTGTGCACCAAGAGGATTGGGTCTCTGTGCCCTGGGGTGCCAAAGCTCCACGCATGGGGATATTGGGGTTGCATGCACTTGGGGGGGCGGTGCTCTGTGCATGGGGGTGGCTAGAGCTTCATGCACCGAGGGGATTGGGTCTGTGTCTCTGGGTGCCAGAGCTCCACGCATGGGGATATTGGGGTTCCATGCACTTGGGGGGTCGGTGCTCCGTGCATGGGGGTGGCTAGAGCTCTGTTCCATGGGGGTCCTGATGCTCCGTTCCCTGGGGGCCCTGATGCTCCGTGCCCTGGGGGTCCTGATGCTCCATGCCCTGGGGTACCAGACCTCCATGCAGCTGCGGGGGGATGGATCTCCGGGGTTCCAGAGCCCCATTCACCGGGGGACCGGAGCCCCATTCACCGAGGGACCGGCGCCCCGGGATACCAGCCCTCCAGACACCGGCGGGCGGAGGTTCCGGGGCTCCAGAGCCCTATATCCCGGAGCTGCCGGAGCTCCAGGGTCCCAGCGCACCGTACGGCGAGCTGCCGGTCGCGGTGTCCCGGGAGGCGGTGCGGGGCCGTTCCCCGCGGAGCGCTCCGCCCGCCCCCCCCGTCCGGCGGCTGCGCAGAGCGGGGGCCGCCATGAGCGAGGAACGGCTGCG